CCTTGGCTTGCTCCTGCCACAGACTGTAAGCACCGTCAACATTAACACTGAACCTAGCACTCGTCGCACATGCCAACTGACAAAGAACGAGTGGATTGCAGCATGCTGTTGCTTTTCCTAACTTTGCGGCGCTCCTCTTGTCTGCGCGTCTCTGCAGCCGCCTGCATCTCTAGATATCTATTTAGAACAACAGAGCTTGGCAGACGTGTGAGGCCACTGAAGTGGAGACTGCAGTCTTGCATGGAACCTCCTGTCGCTGCCGCTCCTCCTCCACGCGTGCGTTCTCCTGCGGTTTGCAACACCAGTCTAATGTTTTGATGCTTGTAACGGCTCGAGGTGCAGAGCTTCGTTCTTCCCCAGGACTGCCTCTTCCTCCGCACGGGCTCTCTGAAGCGCCTCCTCTTCCTGCGGAAGCCACGAAAGATGCGACGCCCTCCCGCCGCTCCCGCCGCTTCGCCAATTATCTGAGCGTTAACGATGACGTCACATGAAGCACGCGCACCTCTTGCCGGCGCAACTCTTCTTCTGCTAATTGTACCCTCTCCTGTCACAAGTACTATTCGGGATTCGCTTTATTAAACTTATTATGCACTCCAGCTAAGTGCAAGGTGTGACAGCTGGCAAAGGACCTCCTCCTGAGTCTTTGCTCGCTCCTGCAAAAAGCTGTGTGCGTTGACACTATAAGCAACTACAGGCATGCGGCATGCGAACTAACGCAAAGGAGCAATGGGTGGCAGCAGTTACGACACGCGTCTCGGTAACGACATTACCCCACCTCTTGTCTGCAAATCTCTTCTGCTGCCTGCATGTTTCTCGTGCGTAAGTTGGGGACTGACTGCGGGGCTGCTGCCAAGACCTCCTGTCGCTCCTCCTTCTCCAAGCGTGCGCGCTCCTGCGCAAACTATCACCATCTTCAGCAACTCATCGAAACGAAAGCCTGTTGTGGGGACCGAAATGCTGAACGCAACCCCTCTGTTGCTGCAAGAAACGATGTATCGTAACAGTTCCTCACTTTCAACTTTGGCGGTCCAGTCGTACACCATGCCAAGCTCACGACAATTCACTGTAAGTTATTGTGCCAGCAATGCGCACCAGTGCCTCTTCTTCTGCGCGTGCCCTCTCCAGCACCTCTGCTTCCTGCAGAATCCAGCAGGCCAATCACACATCTCTGCTGTCCTGTGTACCGAAGCCCACTAAGCGGGCCGGCTGGCATACTGTTCAGTTCCACCGCAGTTTGCAGGTGAAAACGCTTGCAGAACTCATGGGGGCCGAACAAAGGCTACAGCACCGGTCCAGTACACTCCGCGCCTCGGTGGACTCTTCCGGCACCCTGTTCTGTCTTTCTCTGGCAGCTTTCACCCTCTCCATAAGCTTCCCAGCGGCCGCCTGCAGGGCCGCTGAGCTCGGAACTTTGTCCTCCGGGCCCTTGACCGCCTGAGACCATCTGAGGTCGGAGACTGGAGTGCTGGGGTCGGGATTCACTTAGACGGGCTTGGCCTCATCTGCTCTTTCTGCTTCTCTCGCCGGCTGCTCGTCATGCTCGTCACCCTCCTCCTCCAGAAACGTTGGGGCTCTCCCGGCAGTCCATGAATACAACCACTGTGCCTGCACGGTCGACGCAGCAGCGACATCGGCCTTCTCCTCCGGGTGAACGTTGGAAGCCTTCTCCAAGGGGGCAGCCACTAGCACAACTGGTTTCGGCTCGTCTTGCACCGTCTGAAATCGGACCATGGCCTCCTCAACTGCCTCTGCAGCATGAGGTCCTGGGTCACATGGCTTCTTTTCAAGCACCTGCAAGCGTTGGCTCGTGGCCAACGTCGAGTCGAAGACTAAGACTTAGTGTTGTCACCAACCCTTGTCGACTTGTTGTTAGGGTACCAACTCCCGTTCTGCAGGCTGGTGCCCTCACTGTGTTACGACTCTTGACTGCGCAGTCGCAGATTGCGAGACGCTAATTATGAGGCACCAGCAATACGCAGACAGCACACTGGCCTCTTCCTCCGCGCGTGCCCTCTCGAGCGCCTGCTCTTCCTGCAGAAACCAGATGGAAAGCAGCAGCCGCCAACCGTGCCACTTGAGTGATTGAATTTCCGAGCGTGCATCGGGATGATGCTGCGCACAGACGCCTCTCGACGTCGTCTCTCTTCCTCCAGTCGCGCCCTCTCCTGCACACAGATCAAATTTGGGATTCGGTTCGCCAAGCGACTCGACTAACATTCGAATATGCTTTGGCCTGAAACGATGTAGATTGCGCATGTCTATCATCACCGACCTACTATAGTGCCTGATAGCACACAAGCTGCCCACCTCTTGTCTGCGCACCTCTGTCGCCTGCATCGGTCTGGTGGCACTTACATGCTTGATTGAAGCCAGCGCATCGTTCAAGGAGCAAAACTGACAAGGCCACCAAATTGAAGTTTGCAGTGCTGCTGGCATGGCACCTCCTGTCGCTGTCGCTGCTCATCCTTCTCCTCCTCCAAGAGAGCGCTCTCCTGCGTCAGCTATCGCGATCTGCAACTAACTCAATTGTAGCAACTCACATTCGGGTGCTGGACAGCAGCTAAGTCAGTGCGACGCTGATACCAACCTGTAACTGTAGGAGACATCACATTGTTCTTCACTTCCACTGTTTGCAAGCGCGGGATGTGGAGGTCAGCCTAGCCTGCTGCCCGCAAGCCTTCCCCTGTTTACGCCTGTGCTGTGTGCGCGTGTGTGTGTGCCATCTCAAGCGCTTCCTTCTTCTGCTCATGGTACACAACGAGCCACGCAATCCTCCGTCATGTATCCCCAGCAGCTCGTGCCAGAGTATCCGTTTTGCAAATGCTGATGCCCGTCGTCTGCATTTCTTACTTCTAAGTTCTTCCACCAGCCAGAACCTTGCATAGAACCTTGCCTCGTTTGGAATGTTGCTCGCTTTCTGCCCCAAACTTGTCTCGCCCTACGCACGGAGGTGGTTTCGTTTCATGTAGTTGAAGCAAAATCTGCATCAGCGAGTTGTTTCTTGCCCATTCTCCAAGACGAAACAAACGGCAGCTTGGGAGACTGCGCGATGCGCGAAGTCTGCAATAATATGCAATAATCCAACAAAACTCTGGCCCTCGGTTTCCGAACTTGCTGTTTCGTCGGAGCCTCGCAGTCTGTTTCTCCTAGCGAAAGCGCAAGTCTTTCCAACTCCGATACCACTCCCGACAGCCTTGTTGGAATCTTAGTCTTCGTATTGCGACAACTACAGTAACTCCAGTTGTTGCAAGTACAGGCACACCTTGGCTCTACCTGGGAGGCATGCTTCGAGATCATGGAGCCTAGGGCCTACGTACCCCTTGAAATCTGAACTAGGCAGCCACTTCCGCCTTCGGCTTCTACACGAAGAAAGCCCACTTCCTGTCTCTCACCCAAATACAGACTTGATTTCTTATGGAGACCGAAGGTGGCTCCTACGTAGTTCGCTTCTTGCTCCGAAACTAAGCTTCCTGTAGGAACTGGCTACTACTCAAAAACAAACCCGCTCCGCCAGGACTAGTTGCTCGCTCTGCAGTTTGCAGGTGAAAACGCTTGCAGAACTCATGGAGGCAGAACAAAGGCTACAGCACCGGTCCAGTACACTCCTCGCCTCGGTGGACTCTTCCGGCACCCTGTTCTTTCTTTCTCTGGCAGCTTTCACCCTCTCCATAAGCTTCCCAGCGGCCGCCTGCAGGGCCGCTGAGCTCGGAACTTTGTCCTCCGGGCCCTTGGCCGCCTGAGACCATCTGAGGTCGGAGACTGGAGTGCTGGGGTCGGGATTCACTTAGACGGGCTTGGCCTCATCTGCTCTTTCTGCTTCTCTCGCCGGCTGCTCGTCAGGCTCGTCACCTTCCTCCTCCAGAAACGTTGGGGCTCTCCCGGCAGTCCATGAATACAACCACTGTGCCTGCACGGTCGACGCAGCAGCGACATCGGCCTTCTCCTCCGGGTGAACGTTGGAAGCCTTCTCCAAGGGGGCAGCCACTAGGGCAACTGGTTTCGGCTCGTCTTGCACCGTCTGAAATCGGACCACGGCCTCCTCAACTGCCTCTGCAGCATGAGGTCCTGGGTCACATGGCTTCTTTTCAAGCACCTGCAAGCGTTGGCTCGCGGCCAACGTCGAGTCGAAGACTAAACTTAGTGTTGTCATCAACCCTTGTCGACTTGTTGTTAGGGTACCAACTCCCGTTCTGCAGGCTGGTGCCCTCACTGTGTTACGACTCTTGACTGCGCAGTCGCAGATTATGCGAGACGCTAATTATGAGGCACCAGCAATACGCAGACAGCACACGGGCCTCTTCCTCCACGCGTGCCCTCTCGAGCGCCTGCTCTTCCTGCAGAAACCAGATGGAAAGCAGCAGCCGCCAACCGTGCCGCTTGAGTGATTGAATTGCCGAGCGTGCATCGGGATGATGCTGCGCACAGACGCCTCTCGACGTCGTCTCTCTTCCTCCAGTCGCGCCCTCTCCTGCGCACAGATCAAATTTGGGATTCGGTTCGCCAAGCGACTCGGCTAACATTCGAACATGCTTTGGCCTGAAACGATGTAGATTGCGCATGTCTATCATCACCGACCTACTAATTAGTGTCTGATAGCACACAAGCTTCCCACCTCTTGTCTGCGCATCTCCTCGGCTGCCTGCATGTAACAGCAAGAGGCACCAAATTGGACACTGCAGTCGATCATGACACCACCTCCGTACGTGCGCTCAACTGCACATGATCTCGCTACAGCGTCTCCAAGCATAGAAAGCCATCTGCAAACTCCCAGGACGAGGCTTCCAGACACCAGTTTCAAGTTACTGCTCTTCGCTTTCACTGCTGACTGGCAAATGGCGGTATGTCCGGGTTCACCTCAGGCTCTGGGATGTTTATGGCTTGGGCCACCGCAACCCACATAGGCAATGACAAAATGTCAAGAAGGGCGGACTAATAGTTCAACGAGCACAAGGCCACCCCGTGGCAGAGCAGTTATGCTGCATGCTGTCACAGCACTCGCTGTCCAGCTGCATCGAACGGATCTCAACGTGACCAACTCCTCTTGTGTGGATTCAGGCGCTAAGACTCGCCGATCAAACATGGACTACATGTTGTGCCATCACGAGGCTACCGGTGACCACATACTAGTAAAAGGTCCGTAAACAAACAACGCCCGTCACTTCTTCCTGCAGAAACGAACAGAGGCGACAAACGTATCAACACGGCAACCCGTTCTGCATGTCGAACTGGCACGGAACGAGTGGGTTGCGGCGGTTGCCACTAGCAGTGATGCTGTCCTGGCCCTCGCTCTCTCCAACCGCATAGAACGGAAGTCAACTTGACCAACTCCTCTTGTGTGGATTCCGGCGCTGAGACTAGCTGCATAGTCATAGGTTGTATGTTATGCCAACACGAGGCCACCAGTTACCAGATATCAGTACCAGGTTCATACACAAACAACGCTCGTCAATTCCACATTGTGATTGCCCAAGGTATAACATCACGTCCGGCCTCATGTCAGGCTACGACACGACAACTTGGCTTGCAGCCCTGTGCAGCACAAGTGCCTCTTCCTCCGCACGGGCCCTCTCGAGCGCTGCCTCTTCCTGCAGAAACGAACAGACACGACAAATGTGACACCCTGCGCGATCATCCAGCCGGACGTTGTGCAAGCCATCACGCTTGCCTCCTGTCGTAGCCTTTCTTCTTCTAATCTTGCCTTCTCCTGTCCAGACATACTCTCCGCAAGATTCGGGTAGGTCAACAGCACTCCAGCCGCCACGCAGAATCCAAGTTGCAGCTGCCAGGCACATGTCAACACGGTAACCCATTACGGAACGAGTGGTGCAGTATGCTTCGGTTGCCATCATCTTGATTGGACATGCGGCCCACCTCTTGTCTCCGCAGTTCCTCTGCCGCCTGCATTTGGCAATGACACAATCGAGCAGGCCGCGGAGGGCACGAAACTAGGGACTGCAGCTACGCGAGTTATGCTGTCATGGCACTCGCTGACTCCAACCGCATCGAACGGATCTCAACTTGACCAACTCCTCTTGTTCTGAGACTCGCTGCATAAACATCGGCTATATGCCAAGCTATATGATATGCCATCACGGGGCTACAGTACCATAGGCTACCTGTGACCAGATACTCTTACCGATCTCGTGCCAGGTCCGCAAACAAACAATGCTCCCCACATCCACATTCTGATTGCCCAAGGTACTACATCACGTCCGGCCTCATGTCAGGCTACGACATGACAACTTGGCTTGCAGCCCTGTGCAGCACAAGTGCCTCTTCCTCCGCGCGGGCCCTCTCGAGCGCTGCCTCTTCCTGCAGAAACGAACAGACACGACAAATTTGACACCCTGCGCCATCATCCAGCCCTCCGTTGTACAACCCATCACGCTCGCCTCCTGTCGTAGCCTTTCTTCTTCTAATCTTGCCTTCTCCTGTCCAGACATACTCTCTGCAAGATTCGGGTAGGTCAACAACACGTCAGCCGCCACGCAGAATCCAAGTTGC